GAGCAGGGAAATAGACTCTTCCCCTGTGCCTGGAGGAGGCCTGGAGTATTTGTGAACAGCTTGGATGATGAAATAGGTGACCCTGTAGCACGGAGACTCACGTGGTAATGAGGAGGTCTGTGGAGGGTTTTAGCCAAGAAAAGGTGAGAAAGTCAAGTTGGGGTTTAAGAGACTGACTGGAAGGAAATAGGCAATCAACGTCTATTTTTTGAGAAGAATAATTGAACCAGTGATTCTTAAAATAATTACTGACTAGCTTTTAAATTGAAAAGCAGAAAGTCATGTGAAAGGTAAAAATTCACATGCAGAGGGATAGGTAATAAAGAGCAAGGTTCTTTACCACCTTTACCTCCTACTTTCCTTCCCAGCAGCAAATGCTTTTTAATTCCCTTGGATATTGTGGGGCTATTTAGGATACATACACTACTCAGGTACATATATTGTCCCTCTTAACTCAATTACACATCTCCCCACTTTGTTCTGCCTGTGTATCTTGCAGGTGTGTGTATGTCTAATTTCATAGCACCTGCAGGTAAGTCCCACTGAAGGTTTTAGAAAGGTTTAAATGGGTGGTCCTGTGGAACTGAGCGAGCAGAGTGGAGGAAGCAGACCGATTAAGAGGCTGTTTGAATACTTGTGATCATTTTCATTCATTTATTTACTCCTTTTGTATTTGCTGGGCCCTGTGATATCAAGTCACATAAGAAATGACCCTGGCTTTCAAAGCGCTGAAGGCAGCGAAGACAAGTAAACAAATAAATCATCGTGTGGTGTGCTTGAGTGTCGTAACTGGAGCGAAGTGACAAGTGTCGAGACTGGGATGCCAGCATGAGATAAAAAGCATGAGGTAGCAGGCATGCTCTTTCTTTGGAAAAAATGTCAACAGGTACTGTCTGATAAAGGGTCACTCTGGGCCCTCTTGAAATGTCTCCCATTTATTTCATACCCCTTGTTTGCTCCCCAGCATACGCCTGGACACAGCATCTGATGTTGATAGCATTGCCCCCCAGACTAAGGAGAAAGCTCAGGAGGCGCTCGTGATGGAATCCAGAGCTTCCCTGTCATTTCTCCACCTTTGCCAACAGCGACTCCCGCTCCTGCCTGGCTGTTGTACAAACAGTGAACGAATTCTTGATTATGCAGGAAGATGAGCCTCTGATTCATTTTTGATGTTCAATGTTATGAGGCAAACTCCCTGGCCATCTGTTCTAAGGAGGAACATGGTACATATTTTGATTATTTTATTTTTATCTTAATCAAGTGGCAACTTTCCATCTTGATGCATCTTAACCTGAGCAGTTATGGCTGGGAGGTAGCGGGCTTGAACAGACTGATGAGGAAGGGAGTGGGGGAGGGAGGGAAGGAGGATTTGCCACCTGGTGCGGTGCTGGAGCTGGGAGTGGGAGCAAAGGCTCCTCTGCACAGCCTTTCACCTCCCTCAGTAATGAAGAAATTTCCATCTCTCCAGTGGCCACCGAAATGCTTAGAGCACCAGACTCCTAGGGTTCATTACATAGCGAGGGCAGAAGACAGAAATGGTCAGGACCTACTGGCTACAGCCCGAGGACCCAGGGGAGCCTGGGCTGTGGACAGAAGGCACCTGGAAACTGGAAAACGGCAGCTCCCTCAAAAGGTTAAGGGAAGTATCTTAGCTGCAGCTTCCTAGTTGGAAACAGCCAGAATGTCTCAGCCTGACAAGAAGAGATTTAAGTCTTTCCAGCCATTGGCATTGGATGGAAACGTGCAATTATGTTCTAGGAGCTGGCTCTGGGGCCCCATGGGACGAGTGAGGTGGAGTAGAGAGTACTGATCTGGTCATTGGTCACAGTTTAGGTTTCCCTGAGAGCTACGCCTGAAACAAGGGTTTGGGAGCAGTGGGTTTGTTTGTGAGGTGATCAAGGGAAGGCGTAAGGAAGCCAGGACTGGGGGGCAAGGAGGGAGGGAGGAGAAGGCAGGATGGAGCTGGTTGGTGTGGGGGGCAGCTGGCTGAGTCCTGATGTGGACTGGCTAGCACTGCCTCTGGGGTGGAACTAGCACATTCATCACTCACTTCTGACCCTTGGTTGAGGGCTGTCCTTGCGGGTATTAATCCTTTGCCGTCAGATTGCCCGTGCACTTAGCTTCAGCTAAAAAGCCCGAGCAGGCCAGTAGGGAGACAAGGAAGGTGCTTCTAGTGGTTGGCTGGACCCTGCCAGGGACGTGTGTCTCACAGCTGTGGCATGAGTCCCAGGTGGGACTGCCGGGAAGTGGTTTGGGGCATGACAAGAACCCCAGTCCTTCCTGGAGCAAGCAGTGGGAAGGGGCAGGAGAGTATACCCAGTCAACAAAGGTGACCAAGTGTGAATTTTGTTGGGATAGTGGGTACCAATCTCAGGCCCCAAACACAGGTGGGAAAGAAATCCCCAGTTCTATGCATGCACATAACTAAGCCTAAAGTTGACTCCGTGTTCCCGATGCACTGTGATAGTAGCAAATTTCATCTCCTTAGTGCCCCTCCTCCGCATGTGACAATCTCCTTCCCAGCTTCATGGTTGTCTGTATGTTACTGTCTGCCTCTGGACTGGTATCTGTACAGAACAGACCTTCATGCTTAAATTGTGTATTTTTTAGGGTTCTGTTTTGTTTTTGTGGGGGTAACGCTTCTGATTAACTGGTCAGGTTGAATATGGTGAACGCTTTCTTTTTCTCTGTTGTAAATTGCTTCCTTTCTACACTTTGGAAGTCTTCCAGGAATCACTGGGTGCAGAGAGCGCTCCCTTGTACGAGGACGCCGTCGCTCTTGTGACTAGTCACTGTCTGCACGTGCACCAGTGTCTTGGCCCCCTGTGACCTGAGAGCTCATCCCTGTGGCCATCTCCAAGTGACACAGTAACCTCTGTGTGTCAGGGTAGCATTCTTGACACCCGGAAGGAGCGGTGCACCTCTCTTGTTAGTTTGGTTATGAACTAGCCCATGGGTCTGTTTATTTTTTGACTTCTTAGAAAAGCCCTTCAATATTTAACAGTTAAAATGATTTGAGTTTAACACATCTATAACTTCATGGAATCACACTGACACAGTGAGGCTGCAGAGCTGCTCACTGACCCAAAAAGCTCCCTTGTACTGCCCCTTTGCAGCCACACTTCTCGTCACCCGAAACCCCTGGCCACCACTACTCTGTTCTCTATCACCATAGTTTTGTCTTTTCCAGAATAAAGTTTTTGTATTTAAGATGTTGGAACACAATTCAATACTTAAAGTAGTCCTGGTCTCATATGAACACACACACACACACACACACACACACACACACACCTGTCTCTGGTTCGTTGGAGCAAGGACAAGACGGCATTTGCAGAGTGACATGTGTCCAGGTGGCTGGCCATGAAGATGTCAGGAGACTGCCACTCCTGAGGAAGTGACTGATTTGTCAGTCATAGCAACCTTAGAGTATTTCAGAGCAAACAGCTCCCTCTTCCTTTTCCTGCACTTATTCCTTTTGGGACTACAGTAAGATGAGTTCTTTCCAGCACTGCCATGAGGTCTCAACAGCAAAGGCGGTCTGCTTGTGAATGCTGTCATCAGACTGTTCCAGTTACTTACTAGCAAAATCAGCCCCTGTTGAGTGAGAAGAATCTGAGCTTTTGCATTTTTGAACTATATTCGTGGGTTCATTCTTGAGAATGGTGATCTTTCTTTCTTTCTTTTTCTTTTTTTTATTATTTTAAAGAGTAAAAGAAGGATAACATAGTAATAGGGGGGCTTACCGAATTACAAACAAAGTGGTAGGAAATGATCAATGGTTGTTGCTTTACATAATGTTGTCTACAAGATAGTTTCTCAGGAAAACAAATAGACAAATAATAGTGAGTTACAGACAAAAG